ATATATATATATGTATATATATAAGGTGACGCGACCTCGGTGATATCATCTTGCATATATATATGATTATATATATATATATTTATATATATATATTTTTATAAAAGGTGACGTTGCGTCGCCTTTTCCTTCTCCCACGTGGGGTGATGTCGCCTTATATATATATATATATATGTATATATATATATATATATATGTATACATACATACATACATATTCCATCCGGTAACGGGTGGTTCATGTATCGGTCAACTGATGGACCGGTACATATCGCCCAGTACGGGCGGTATTATTCGAAATTATAATCCTTGGTCTAAATTACGTAATATAAAAAGTTTTTAAATGAATATAAAATATGCACACATTTGTTCGAAAAATCTGTGCCCATGCTTTAGAGATATGAAACCAGGCTTATTTCTAGAGCTATACTTTATTGTTAAGTGGTGGTTGCGTTGTGCTTTGCTCTTTTTTTTTTTTTCCAGATGAGACATGATAGAGTGAAAGAATGAGAAATGGATAAGAAAATAAATTAGAAGGAAGGAAAATAAGAGAAGAGTTATAGGGAAATCTAGGGGCGACATCACATGTGTAGCGGAAGAACAAAATAATAAAACCCTAAATTTTCCAATATGTGTTTGTCGTCATGCGAAGATTGGTGCGTGAAATCCGTAAAATCGTATATCCCTGAATCTCTATATATCTATTGGAGAGAATGAAGGAGGTTAAACATCCTTCTCTCTAGCGGTGATCCACACAGCAGGGCTGCGACGACGCTCCTCAAATCTTCACGTTTGCTCTCTGAGGAGGAGAAGGGGAGAGGGGAATTGGAGGTGGCAACCAAGAAGCCCCAGCCTATGGGCCTTTAATTCCCTCCTATTTATAGAGGCTCCTAATTAACCCCAATGGATCCTGCCCTATTGGGTACTGGATCTCCATCCAATTACCCAAGCTTCTTAGATTAGTTGGTTTCTACCTAATAATCTCTTATTAACTCTTATTTGATCACATCCATATGATCC